CCATTTTAGCTATGTGATGTACTTGTGTCTAGTTTTACTCTGCAGCACCTGTAATCTAAAGGGCTGAGAGAAGTGCTTTTCATGAAGGTTCAAACGAAGCACTCTATTCAGGCCAAGGAGATCACTAGGAAGACATGAAATAATCTTAAAGAGTACTTGACCATTCATGACCATCTAGGTGTCTCATTGTACTGAATAAGTAAATGATGAAACCTCCATAAAATCCTCTTGTGATCTCCGCCGTACTCTGATGGAATAAAAAGGGATTGTAATAGATTATGTTATTTTATAAAGGAAATAGAGAAGGTGATTGCTCAGTGGCTTACATTAAGGTAGGAAATGGCTAGCACAAAGGCTCTCTTATCTCTCTGTAGCTGTCTTCCTCTCTCGCTAGTGCTGCTGATGTCGGTGGATAAGTGCCCCGAAAGTGAGCTAAGAGCTGATACACTGTTCTCAAGGGAGACAAAATGGAAAAGGCTGGAGAAAATGAAACAAAAAGCCAATAGTCAAAATAATTATTTCAGACATTTTGCCCAGAGCTTCATTGAAGGTCCCCACATTTCAAAATTTACTCCCGTTCACTTTCAAAGTTAGCTAGAGGTTGGGGAGAAATAGTACAGACCTACTCCTACTGGCCATATTTCCATAGAATAGCAATCCTGGGACTCCTAACAACCATGCAAGACTCGGCAGAACACCAAAACAATCTAGAGTTGGTGATTTGTTTTTGATTGAAGGCATCTTGAATGCTGATAAGAAAACCAATTTAATTCATAATGCAGTACCCTCTGGAAACATTTTTTTTTTGGGAAGAAATCAATTCTAAAGCAAGATAACAACCCTAAGCACATTATTAAGAAAATCAGGATGTACTTATCAAACAAAGAAGCTGCTGGTGTCCTGAGAACAATGACCACCCCAGAGTCCAGACCTAATTGGATTTTTAGAAGCAGAAAATACAACTAACTTCTAAGACTGAACTTTAGAGGTTTGAAAAAATAAATAATAAAACGATAAATAATAAGCACAGTATTTTAGTTAAAAAAAAATCATGATTATTGATTATATCATCTCTCTCCCTCATAACCTTGTGCGGTACACTACAGATTTTACCTATTTTCTATTCTATTTTTAGTTTATATGCTTTTTTTACATTACCGGTTTTCATGAAAGTATTCAATAAAAATCAAAAAAAAAGTAATATAATACTAAGCAACTCAAAATCCTCTGAAAACTCCTTCACCTGTCATTTTAATAGATGTTGCTGCACACATGTACATTCATGAGCTTCTTCTGGTGCAGATCCATGGTGACTTCTGTGGTAATAGTGCTCCCTGCTGGAAAATTTTCAGACTGCAAGTGATTTCCAAAGGCTTCTTCATGCGCTATACACATCATTATAGCAGAGTCGCTCTGCAATTCACATATAGATGCCTTTGGAAAACCAGGTTGTATTATTTTCATCATTTAACTCACATAAACCACTTAAGCTGTACAGAAGATTCTGAATTATTTTCTTTTCTTACCTTTTTCTGATCCTGTTTCCTGGCCATACATGGGGATCTGAGCTAACTTAGCTGCTCTACGGTAATATCCAGTCACTTTAGCTTGGTTGTTTTACCGCAATGAGTCACACTGAAGCAAGCTCCAATGTAAGTTCCAAAGCATGAATAGGTTCCACTCAAGTTAAACCTAACATAAAGTAAATTAAGTAGAAGAGCTGTGAGGTAAAGCTAGCATTACAGTCCGTAGCAGAGAGAAATAACAGGCAGCTTCTTAACAAACCTCCCTCTTTCTCTCTACTACAGGGGCACACATCTGCACATGTTATAAAGGAACGTGAACCCCAATTTCCCATACTTAGCTGTTTAATGGTAATGGCTTTCTTGCCCTGTCAGTTTCCCATAATAGCAGTTATTGGCTTTTAGGCATTGTCATTGGGTAACTTGTCAGTCATTGACGAATCACATTCAATTACATCATCCAATCTCCCAGTGGGCACACAAAATGCTAAAACAATTGCTAATATATTTAGTTGTTGAGACTTTTGTGTCTTTTTCTTTTAAATATGTGTTTCCTGCTTGAACTTAATGGCCCTTTTAACTAGAAATTAAATAAATGATATTTATATATTTCCATCCAGATTCACAGTGTCCCCTACTATAAATGTGAAAATCTCAGAATCTCAGTATCACTCCACCAAATGAATGGTTGTCCACAGGCTTCAACTGATAAATTAGCTGGACAAAATTACTTAGCATGGAGGCAGCAGTAGCCTCCTTTACTTCTTCTGTCTTAATTGGCTTCTGACCCAGCATGACAGGGTCTAGATGCTATGCAGCCATGTTTTCCTGCTCCTTCCCTTCATCCATTACCATAGACTTATCATTATGGTCACATCTCTCCCCCTAATCCACGCTAAGACCCTCTGCGCTGGTCATTAGAAATGTTGAGTCCATCACAAAAAGCTAAACAAACAGCGTGAAGCTTCCCACTTAGTCCAAGTCCTACTTTCTCACTTCCATAATTAGCTGTACAAGTGTGCTAGCTTGCTAGCTTCTGTTTTTGGTGTGTTTGGCTCGTGTGAGAACTTAGCTTATCTCCAGGCACAACACAACTCGAAGCTCATCTCTGTGGGGGGCACAGGAGTGTATGCAAATCATTTTAGTACCTTAGCGCTCAGAAGCTTGTTTGCTAATGAGCCAGGGAGACATGTTGTGATGAAAGTGGAAGGGTACGTTTTTATTATTGCGCCTTCTGAGTGGAAGCTGGGCGATTTCTCCACGGGTGGGCAGACTTGTGGTAAACACTTTGCCGGCTGGAGCCACAGCAGAACAAGCAGAACACTTCACCTCACACATATTTCTCCTCGTGCACCTATTCGAGAGCGCTCGAGCGTCGAGGCGGAAGCGTGTCCAATGCTAGGTTAACTGGGTGAAGGACAAAAGAGACTCTTCCCTCACCCGTAGTTCCGCTCCAATCCACCACAAGGGCCTTAGAATGATTCAATCGAATGGGGAGCCTTGCTGAGAGAGAAATTCACGCGCTGTAATTTTGCAAACTCGCCTCGAGCAGGAAATCACAATCACAGCACTTCCTGTTGTACTTTCTCTCTTTAGTTTTCCTGCCCTGACTGTGTAAGTGCTAGGAGAGAAGGCCACAGGCTTTGTGAGGACGCTCTTATCCAAATATAGAGTTTCCTTCCCATTTCAGCATGAAGTTTTTTCTTTTTCACCCACTCAGCTGGTCTGAAAACATATTAGAAAAGTCATTACTAAAGAGAATGTTCAGCGCAGTCAGCAGTCCGAGTGTAATATGCATCACAGGGCAGCGTAACCTTTCATGTGGGTCATTGGTGGGATTAAATTTTCAGCACTAAATCTACAGTTGGGAGCTGGCGATCACTGCACAGCCGTCGGTGTCTGTCCGAGCCTGGATTATATGATTTTTTTAATCCACCTATTGATCCCATATTTACACAAAGCACTGTGTGATGGTTTCCTAGTGGCCTCCATCTTTTGAATCGGGGGCTTCGCAAATAGTCACAGGGGCCAATATTATGTTGTTGCCTGTAATATCAATGTAAATGGTTGTGGTTAATATTAGGTGATATTAATTAGGTGTCACCTTCCTGCTGTGAGTGTTGCTATTCAAACGGCTGTATGTTTGCTCTTCTGCTGTCATGAATCTTACTGGCCTAATAGTGAGTGAAGTGAGGAAGAGAAGGCAAATAGAAAATAAATAAATGCATAAAATATGCTGCATGCTTCTTATATGAATACATTTCATGCATTATATTAAAATTTCGTTTTTAGTTCTCTCTACTTTTGACACTTAATACAGATGAGAATATGAAACAAAATCCTTTTTTGGTTTTGTTTTGAATACAGACTCTTTATGCCCAGTTCATGCTTTTATTTTGTTTTTTTTTTCTATTCGCTCTTCTCAGATGTGATGTTCTTTAGCTGTGATTACATTTGCAGTACAGTTATATTGCATTTCTATTATTGTGAGCAAGCAGTCATAAACAGTAAGGTTTCATTTTCATTAAACTCTCTCTCTCTCTCTCTCTCTCTCTCTCTCAGCCAATCAGAGGCTGGATCTAGTTCCTCAGTCATGTATTAGTAAAGGGGAACTCCACCAATTTTTCAGAATTTCTGTACAGTTTAGCCATTAAGATGTAAACAAAGTCATTCAGGGTGGTTTGCTGTGAAATGGTGTAATGTAGAGAAACGTACTGACTCAGATTTCTTTACAGTGGTGGTGATAGGAACCAGGGGTTGTGATGTCTGCCACATAAATACAGCTATTTTATTTATTATTCAAAACAAAGAGTGAACATTTATTTTCTGAGTTTTATAAGTAATGTTAATAATGGTAAAATGGTTATAAAAAAGTTTTAACAATGTCCTGCTTGTACTCATTCACCCTGAATGAATAAAAAAAAATAAGACAACTGTCATTAAGCAATGTTTTAGGTATTAGTTTTCAGGCTATTTGTAACCCAAACTACGTTGTGTGGTAGCTTTTAGTGGCATTAAACAATTCCCAAACGATCCAGACGTCTGGTTCCTATCACTGCCGCTGTAAAAATCAAGGCACAGGAAGTTTATCTGTAGAACGGCGCATTTCACATTCAATCACCATGAATGACTTTGTTTACATATTAACAATTGAATTGGGTAGAAATTCTGAAAAGATCAATGGAGTTCTCCTTTAATGTGTTTTTTTCCAAATCGTTTTGTGATAAGCTCCGGCCTCCAGCGCTACGATTGGTCTGTAGTTCATCCCCGCAAGCAGTCCGCCTAATCCTATCAGACGAGGCTAGATAACAACGGCCAATGGCAGTGGTACATTTGCATATTTCCTCTCGCACTATAGCTAACCAATCGCAGCACGAGACGCGGGACGCAGTTAGCCAATCCCAGCGGAGTGAGGCGGGACTTGTCAGAATGCGCATGGGGGAAGAAATCCAAAACGCTCGAGCCTCGCTGACATCCAGCGCGAGGAGTGATGCGCGTGACGGGCGAGGGCTCGTAACGGACTCGGATCGACCGTTGCAGTTTAAAACAGAATCGGCTAAGATTATTTCCTCACATACGGTGGAGCTCGTCCACAGTTTTCACGGTATGTAACAAAACTTTTTCATGTTCTTTTTTCTCTCTCGACACTAAAATATGTGTAATTTTTGGAATTTCTTCTCGCATGAAGAAGGTAGGGTGGAATAGGTGAGGTGATGTCTGTCAGTGTGGTTTCTTAGAAACGTTTATTTTGCTGGTCGAGTTTGCAGTAGAGAAGAGTCCTGACAGAAAACACGAAAATAAACGATGGAAACTCGACGAAGGACCGTGAAGGAGCTTTATTAGTGGATTAAATCCGTAAAATGGTGTGAATTTAGAGCTGAGCTTCGGCGACACGGTCAGAGGTACGAGGTCGAAGTTGGGCTCCTGTTCACCAGCTTCGTGTTCGAATTTTCCCGTTCCACCTTAAATGGTGCAGCAGTTACTGCTAAAATGTGGCGCCAGAATGTAACTGCCGCACCAATTAAGGTGGAACGGCGAAATTGGAATAAGAAGCTGACTTGAGCTTCGTGCCAGTGGTGTCGAAGTTTGTGACCAACAACGTTCGCATTTGTCGCCCTGCATTTGCGAGCGTCGAGACGGAAAGGCAAAAGTCTGTGGCTGTGGACCAGTGTTTGGTGTGCGTGTACGAAGTGACCGGGGTCTGCACAGAATAGTACCTATCACTTTTAATGTGAATTTTGCTTGCCTGCGCCACGGAAAAGGTCCTTTTCTACCACAGCCTGTGCTTTAGTGCGTCTAAACGTCGTGTTGTGTTGTCACCTCAATAGTAATGCCGCATTTTAGAAATAGATGGAGGTCCGAAGTTATCCGGACCAAACGGTCACCAACCTTTCTTCTGGAGACCAACCTGCAGGGGTCACTTCCAGCCCAGATCTGTTCAACCAACCCATCTCTTCAGAAGAGCTTGAAGAATACGCTACCTGCAGAGTTCGCTTCCAAGCCAGATCTAACACACCTGGTCCAGTTGGTCAAGCTCTTCCATCCACCTGCAGAGTTCAGGTCAGGTGTGTTCTGAACTTTGCAGGTGGACAGATATCCAGGAAAAAGTGTGGTGACCACTGCTCTGGACAAACCATTAATCGTTTTTGTCTTAGACAGCATTTCATAGAGTGTTGCTGGCTCTGTAGAAGCTTTCTGCCGGCCACTGTTTCTTATCGCTTCTGTAGAGGAACAGTTGCAGTGAAACTGTGGTTCAAGGGGGTGGGGGTGGGGGTGGGGGGTTATGCTTTCCTGCAAGGTTATTACCTGGAATTTACAAGCAGGGAGGAGATAATAAAAAGTATATTGCAGAGATGTGAAACCACAGCTTAACTATGGTAACTACTTAACTTTTTATTGTGTTGTAATAACAGGCATACTGTGTGTAGCCAATTGTGTGGTTTACTCTTGTAATCAGTTCATTTGTAATCTTGTAATCAGTGTATTTTTATGGGTGGACTTAATGGCCTGTCGTGTGCAGGTAAGTGTGGTGCAATTTAGAATTATTCCTATTTATAACATGCAGGAGTTAACCTCCAAGAAGGTACCACACTGTTTGTCCAGTAAAAACATCATCATCATTATTATCATCATTTTTTAATTTTTATAGTGCCTCTCCCAAGCTCAAGGATGTTTTCTGTCCTTCGAACATACAAAGGAAATGCCCACAGTAAGCCCACCTAAATCTAAGTAAACATATTTCTAATGTAACCTTTTAGTTTTTAGTGATATATCTTGCAATGGCATGAAAGACTGTGCTCTGTTTTAAACAAGCAACCAAATTTTACAAGATTAATTTGCAAAAATAGTGAAAAAGAACAAAAAAGATTTCTTTTAGCCTTTAAGCCCACTTGTATTCCCAGTAATATCAGATTTGTTTTAGAAAAAATGTTAATTTTATTGACTGATAGGCTTAAGAACAACAGAAACACTCTTTTAAGAAGTACTAATGACACAGACTGAAACTGTGAACTGTTGTTAATAATTTTTTTTCCAATATTTTATACATTCAAGAAAGAACTGTTCCCACTAAGTAAATGACTAATCATAGTGTTTTTAATCGACAGTGTACTTGTTGCATTTATTTTGTTATTCAGATACTCACTGAGCTGTTCATCTTCACAAAACTTGATATTTCTGCAAATGCAAGTTTGGTAGTCTGGTAGTCTCTTTGCCTTTTTGTCACATTTGTGGTATGAAGAGAGCAAGGTTCTTACTGCAGGTTGTTGGTTGAGTAGCGAAATCTGCAATGAAGTGAAGAAGACTGTATAGGAATTTAATAGTAAATCCTCTGTTGCACTGGAACTGGTGGTTGAAGAATCTGTGGTACGTGTTACTAGCGGTTTTGCAACAGTCCTCTTTCACCCTTTCTCTGTGCTGTACTTGATTAACTGAATGCCCGAATGATCCAAGTGTGATCAAGGGATCTTCTAATGTTAAAAAGAGTGGGTGAAATTTAATTAACTCAATGGCTGTACAGACTTTGTGACTTACACATCATATGCCATATATATGGAAATCACTCTGCAAAGAATAGCATGAATCTAGGTGAAGGGTTAATGAAACTGGACTGGAGAAAGTGCTGCATTGAAGTGACTGCATTACATGTGTACATTGTTTTCATGTGAATCAAATGTATTGAAGAAATTTATCTTTTAGTTTGCTTACTTTTGGGAATAACTTTGGTAATGTTTTTGATTTACATGATATATGTTACAGGAAATATTAATAATGGAACAGTTACATACTAGATAACTGTGGTTTTCAAAAGATGGCTGCCACTGAAATCACTATATTGCATACTGGGCACTGTTTTAGGTGTCAGGCATTTTGAAGGGACGTATAGATTCTTAGTGAACATTTTCATGTCCCATATATTACTACTGCACATATAAGGGGACAATGTGGCAAAAACATATCACAGTGCTTGAAAATATATTCACAGTATATTCTGCTAAACAGCAGTGCCACATTTAAAACATCTATGAAATAGATGAAGCTAGGACATGACAATTCTAGTACGTCCACCACTACTACTACTGTTAATAATGATAATCGATAATAATAACAATATCAACAACAAAACAACAGCGATAACAACATTACTAACAAAACTATTATTAATAATAATCATAATTGTAAAGTGAATATTTTCACTTTTCACTCTGTTGGAAAATAGTTATGAAAAAAGTAGTGTTGATATGGAGTTTTTGGTATTTTAATCCACACTAATTAAATGTCATAATTGGACCTTTGGGAAAATGTAGGAGATAGGTCCTTTAAAATTGATGTTTCTCATCATTTATAATTGTGCATAGCACAACCTCATCTATAGCTTTAGTAATGAAAAACCTATCACTTAAATATCCAAGCCTTCTAAAGCCCTGGTCAGTCTTTCTTTTGAAAATGGGAAACTCACAAGATAGTCATGTGTATCCTTAAATGTTCAACTAAAAAATATATTGCAAAGCAGGCTTTCTGTCAGGTCTCATTGACTTTATTTTTGCATTTGTGCAAGTCCATTGTAGCTACACTGACATTGAAAGCAGAAAGTCCTATTTTTTTTTAAACATAAAATAGGATGTCACTGTTAGTCTAAAAATATTCGGAGTAAAAACCTTAAATATACAAAGACATGAATGAAAAGGAGATTTATTTGGGCTTTTGAGGGCTTAAATGATTGCTCTGGTGGACTGTGTTTAAGCCCAGTTAATATCTGGTTTCCTGTAATATTAAATGATTAATTTGGACAGGATTAAGTTGGATAGTTGGCATTTTCTGTGTGTAAATGTTGACAAAGTAAGTACTACTCTGTTTGGAATGTATATTTCTAGTTAATTTTCCAGAATGATAATGCACTTTCAAGCAGAAGTGCACATTGTATTGTTCATTTGTTATGCAAGGTCCTAAAGTGCATGTAACTACCTTTGTTTCATTTTTATTGTTTTCAGTGTAATTATAATTACTGGATTACAGTGTTGGGCATAAACAACAGTTAAAGCTCTGCAGAGTTTCTTTCTCTGAGTAAATTTGCTTCATGGACATTTACCAGAGATATGTAGGTTATTTGGATGATTTTATCAGTATCCTTCCCAAAAAAATTCTGTGTGCACTTCTGCCAAAGCAGAAATTAGATCTCTGTCCTTGCATATCACTTGGAAATCACACATATCAGGTACAGAGTAATGTTATTTAATGTGTCATTTATAGTTGTTTTACCATACGAACCAAAGCTTATGATATTTTTGTTGTCTTACATTTCATGAAAGACTTAAGTGAGGTTTACTAAAATGATGACCATGTCTTACAGCAGGGGTATGCAGTCTTATCCACAACAGTTGGCTGCAGGTTTTCACAACAAGCAGGCTGGAGCACACCTGACTCCACTTGTTTAATCAGTTCGTCTCAGTCTTCAAACATTCGAAGGTGATCTAGTGCTAATGTTCGTGTGAAAACCTGTAGCCACGCCAGCCTTTTGCAGATAGGACTGGACACAACCTAAACACAACATAAACAACAGTAAATAGCCCCATGTCCTACATTTTTTATGTATTTCTTTTTTTTTCTGCTGAGGCCCACTTGTAAATTATGTGTGGCTTTATGTACCAAAAATGTTATAATTCATTTTTACATCATTATTTTCTGACCTTTATTTATCACTTAGAATTGAACAGGCTGTTTTCGTTACTGTGCCTTTAAGATTCATATGTGTAAATGACCTCTGTTCTGATTGGCTTTCGTGTAGTGTGTTTTTTTCAAAAATCAGTCCAGGCTGTTACACTCTTTAGAATTTCAATGTGAATGGATGGGGCTAAACTGCTGTAGGCATTTGGAAGTGTTGGTTTATATGACTTCACAAAAACAGAATTCCAAACAGGTCATTTTTGAAGCTCAGTTTCCATTTACAGACTGTGTGTTTTGGGGAGCGTATTGCACATTCAGATCCATTAATAATTTCGATTATAGTACCATGGTCTAGCATAGTAATTTTTAACTATAATCTGCACAGAATGATAGAGCAGAAACTCTGAAACTCCTTTTAACTCTTTTTTCCCTTTTCTTTGC